TCCTGAAGTAAAGACTGCAAATTCTAATTGGATACTTAAAGTATTTCAGCATCAAGTAAAATCACATTGAAGGTCAGGATTGCGATGTATAACAAAGACAAATTGTTTTTGGTTCCATTTTGCATGCACTGTGAACAACACCGTCTTCCATCACAGACGGAAATAGTTTTTTTTTTTACTTCATTCAAAAAGTGTTAGCTCTGCCTTTAGAGTCACATTTTTTCACCCTCCACAACATTCAGCATCTGTCTTCCCTAATCCTATTAACGGTCTAGCTTGAGACATTCAAATCCAATCCCAAATCTCCCCCCCACCCAAAATACACTATTGTTTCACAGTCCCACAAGCCTTCTACCCTCTTTTGGACTGGGCAGCAGAAAACCACTTTACTCCTCATGATTCACACCGCTATTTTTATCAGTACAATATAACACCAATCTGGTTGCTTGGTAGCATACAGATTTTAATAAACTACAGTTGCAAAAATTAATTTAACTTTTAATGCTCAAGGCACTGCTAGTCTTGTATAACTCACATCTTAGAAAAATAAAAGCAAAAAGATTCCTAAACTTATCTGCTTTTTGTTAAAAAATAAACATTGTAATGTAAAATTAAGCAACATGAACTTCAGCTTGAATAGTGTCTGACCATTAGGCTACCATCTGGCCCAGTAATCAATTCAATACTTTTGAGACAGAATGGGTCTTTAAACTGTAGTGCTTCTTACTAACTGTGTACAGAGTAACATTACAGAAGGATTTTCATGAATCCAATCATTTTAGTTTATTTGCAGTTGCCAGTATTGCAATATATCTCATCAATAAATGAACCTCTCAGAGCAAACCAATAAAACTGACAGGCTCTCCAGTAAGTCTCAATGGTGGTAGGAATGGTATTACCTGGTGGCTAGTAGGAATTAAGCAACAACATTCGTTTACAAAGCGTGGCAATTATCTAATAGAGTGGTCACCATACTTGTCACACATTATCTTTTTTACTAGACTAATAACCCCAGTCTTGACTGGAATCCTGTGGCACACAGGTCACTTTGTTTTGCAAAGCCTTGTTTCACCAATATAAGGTCTTCCAGGGGAATTTCGAGGTCAAAGGTAAGTTTGTGGCATTGATTAGATGGGAATCCTCCATCAGAGTCAGGAGAGGCACTCTGGGAGATTGCCACAGACTAAGTTACAAGCCATGCTAAATTGCACCAAAATCATCAAGGAAATCATGCAACTATTTCACATTGGGTAGAACAATTAAGAAAATACATGATGTGGGTAAATCTTCAAACTACTGCTTGAAGCCTTGAATTAGGATCCCAACATCAGACTGAAGACCCATACGCAATGACTTTTACTACCGAGCCGGTAATATCAGATTTATTCTGTCATTTACTATAATCCATAGAAATGTCCTCTGCATGAGTCTTTGCATGCTATGTTTAAGCATAAAATGAGAAGACCCAGTTGCATGACTGAATGAATTAACGATTTCTACTAAAATGGACCAGAAAAGATTTCCATCAAAGGCACAAGCAGAACAGAAATGGCCCCATTAAGGTATCCAAGGTCAATAGCTTCCTGGCATTTTAACGAGGAACATTGCACATTGGCAATCACTTCACAATGCTGACACATACCCTTACGGTGTAGATTAGCGGAGCGTTTGATGTCACCGAACGCCAGCAGGTACCTGGCTTTGACGGCACCGGACGCTACCCTTCGGCTGAAAGCCAAGAGAGGGTTCATCCCAACTCTAACCCGAGTGCTGCTCAGACAACTATAGGCCAACACACACAGCTGCAGTTTGATACCACCAAACCTTTGACGAAAACAAGGACATGCGACATTTGTGTATCCTCTTTTCCCTAGAGTCCATCATGCATCTGCTGGATTCAAGACACGTGATGCTGGATCTGGGGGACCGGAGAACAATGAGCTGTGTTACCGATATCACCTTTTACTGTTTTATCAGTTGTACTTGCGTTGCAAATCCCAGCTGGTGGGTATAAGCGGTACATACACATCTAGAAATGACAACAAGCACACCATGACTTTTACTATTGAGCCAGAAATACAAGATTTACACTGGGCCAGGTTTGAAGAGGTTAGAACAGCAGTCAGATAAAACGAATACTTCTAGGGCTCCTAAGTTGTTCAGTGACCACCCAGTTGAGTCTACAGTGATAGAGATGGAAAGGGAGAACCATGGGGTTTAGAGACAGATTGCTGGACAGGCTTGAGCTGCTTAAGGGGTCCTCAACACAGCTGCAAATTCACCTCCTGCCAGGATACCTTCCAGCCTGCAGGGCAGCCAGTGAGAAGAACATCATTCTTCCGGTCTACACCACAGCTCCTATGGAGGTACGGAGGACTTTGCGAATGGAGAGATGGTATGGGACAGCGAGAAACAAGTCCATTTAGGAGGAAAGCAGGGCTGTACTAGGACACTGGCTATAAGCAATTCCAGATTGGGGTGATTTAAGATAAAAGTAATGAATGATTCCAAATGTGAAAAAAAAATCATTATTCTTACCGAGATAAATACAACAATTAGAATTCTTTTAATAGACTATGCTCATTTTTGTGTTCTACTAGATCCCAGTGCAGATACCCCCCAGCCCCCCCATCTCTCATTTCCCACCTCCCAGTGGTTGTGAGGGTAACTCGAAGCAGGGGGGCCATGCAGCCTTTAAACCCACAAGGCTGTTAGTTGTCCCCCAGTGTTTTGAACTGTATTATAGAGGCTGCAGTAGGTACCATAAAACCTGGTCACGATGGTTTGTCATTATTAGCACAAACGCCAGGAAATTAATTCAATTTCAGAGCAATTGTGTTCATTCTGAACTAAAAGCTGTTCCTCTCCCCCCGGAGAAACAATGGTCCTTTACGATTGCCAGAGAAAAAACAGAACCCTTTGTGGGTTTTGTACGTCTGCTTTATTAGAGAACTAATGGTCCTGTCAAGCAGTTTGCCTCATTTGTGGGGGCAAGGTATTTTTAGATGTGAAGCTGAGATTGCATTACTAATCTGTTTTTTTCATAAACAACGGCATGGGATTCAGTTAAAGTGTTCAACCTGCTTGGGATTTGGAACTTTTTCTTAGGCTAAAATGCAAATAGTTTCAACTGTGAAAACTTGATCTTCACAGTTTTAAGAGCTCTTTTGCTTTGCCTACTGGGTTTTCTTCAGAAAGTACTGTAGTTTTCTTCTGCATGCTAACTCCCCACTTCATATTCCTGCATATTAGACAGGCAATAGATACTGCAATGACTGATCTTTCTGTAACAAAGCTACACTGCAAATCTATGCCCAAATTTAGAAAAGACAACATCAGCTCAAGATACAGAAGTATTGCTTGTGCATTTTGAGAGATAAAGTAAAATTCATATCTAAGCAAACAAGCAAATGAAAGTGCTTTGCTTATCTACATGTAACAAACCACTGATAGACTTCAAAACCCAAAGCACACATTTTGTCTGCATGTGAAAGCTTGGTTTATAGAGATACTGTACTTAGCCTTGTTTCTAATCCAGCTCTTCTGAAGAATAGCTTGTCACATCTGAACGCCTAGAAAATCTTTGTAGGTTAATAGGTCTAATCATGTCGCACGCAAATCCTTTCTAGCACAGAATGAAAGCAAAAATAAAACTTCCGAATTACAAATCAGATAGAAATTCCACACAAATATATAAGCCCAGAAACTGAAAGATAGTTTCTTACTTTTTTTTGCCCAAGATGCATTGTGTCATAAGCAGAAATAGCTTTGCCAATTTAATTAGTTTTTACAGCATTTTACAAGTAAGCAGAGAACAAATAGAAAAAGGAATTATACAAAGGCATTTAAAGCCTAATAATGAGGAGGCGGAGAACCACAGAATTAAAGCCATTTGCACTGTTTGTGCAACTTATGCTCGACATTAGATTCAGTTCACAATCATCGTCTTCTAATCAGGTCATTAGATACGCTTGTTTTCACTCACATTCATACTCATTGGCAAGTAACTTCATTACCTCATTTTTAATCGGATCGCCACAAAACCCAAAGAACAAAACTAGGTAACGTTTTCTCAGAACCCGTAGTTTTGGAAAATACAGGTTAAAAATAATTCAGTGGTACTTAAGAGAAACCAAACTGTTTAAGGTTTTCGTCAACGCAGGAAGGCAGAATCTTCATATCCCAGGGAATCTAATTGGCAATTCTGTCTTGACATCCCAGGAGGTCACTTACAGGTTCAAAACAAGAGACGACTCCCAGCACAGCCCTGCAAACTGTTCAGTTTTGTTCCTCAGATTCGAAAATGGTGCTCTCAAACGTACGAGAACCTACTGTATTTCCTGTTCTTCACAAGGCTCAGCTCGTGTTTCTTATTTTAGCAAATATTCCTAGGCTTTAGACTGAATTCAAGTTTTGTATAGATTGACAAAAGTCGGCAAATTACATTTCAGTGTACAGAATAAATTGCTTGTATAGCAAAAAAAAAAAAGAAGATGCTTCTTACTATAATAAAAGGGTGCTTGGAGAATCGAGAAACTGAAATTCTAGATGGTCCTAAACCTCTTGCAAAATAATTATCCTGCTATTGAAATTGTAACAAAGTGTACAAAATGTACTGTAGTGGAACTTTCTTTCCCATGCTGCAAAGATTAAATATACTGCAGTCTTATTTCTGGCTACTGTACTGGAAACATGCCATATTCTGACTGCCGGTCACTGTCGGCAGATTGAAAACCAAGTGGAAACTGTGAAAAATTACAATTGAAAAAGTCCAAAAACACTGGAATAAAAAAAAAAAGACAGATGATCAAAACTATGCAGAATTTAGCACAGTATTAAAAAATATTAATCCCTGGGGTATTAGTCTGTCTGAACAGATGACAAGCTTTTGGGAAATCGTTATGAAGAGTTTGGTTTCACGTGAATATTTGACATTTTTCAGATAAAAGTAGCACAACACCTTGGGCCCTTGCGCAGTCATAAAGAGGAAAGGTACTTACGGGTTCCATCAAACCTGGTTGCTATGGTATCCAGAAAGGTGTTCTGAGGTGCCAATAGCCCCTTCATTACAGGCATGTTTCCCCTTTGTGAGAACAGCAGGTGAACGCCGCAGAATTACTCCATCCGAACAGCGGGCAACTCGGACCAGGGACTGCTGGGTTCGGGGGGACGTGCGCGGGAGCACGCGGAAGGTGGCACATCACCTCCCAGCGCCACACACACGCACCTCACCTCATGCTCCTCACTCTCTCCCTTTCAGGGGGAACAGGAGGTTCCCGGGCTGTGTCATCAGAGTCCGGCTCAGGGGAGGCTGTGCAGCATCTTTCAGAGGAGTCTGGTCAACTTGGGCAGGGGAACCCTCTGTCTCCATGCTGCTTCATTCCTCAGACATGGCTCTACTCCTTACTCTCTCCCTCGCTCATTGGGAAGCTGCTACAAAGAGCAAGTGCATTTTCTCAAGCTTTCCCTTTCTGCCTCTCTCTCTCTCTCTCTACTACACTCCCACTTTCATCCACTCATAATCCTATAGTTTTCCACCAATGAGGCAGGCTCAAACACACACACACACTTCTCTATAGAAACCTACCCCCAATAGGGTACAGCCAGGAGAATAAGAACTCTTGCATTTTAAACAACAATTATAAGAGCCAAAGGTACAGTATATTATGGCAACTAGAATTTGTTAGCAGAGGATTTGCATGGAAAAGATTCTGACAGAATTACCTTGCATTTTCTCTTGGGACTGCAATTTTACAGTACCTACCAGAGAACCACTGTTCAGTGACAGTGAGAGTTTCCAGAATTCGACAGTGAGTCCTTTACAATTTCCACAGCAAGATCTGCATCCAACCACAGACTTAGTCCACCAATACC